AGCTACTAATGATCACACAGCTACTAATGATCACACAGCTACGAATGATCACACAGCTACTAATGATCACACAGCTACGAATGATCACACAGCTACTAATGATCACACAGCTACTAATGATCACACAGCTACTAATGATCACACAGCCACTAATGATCACACAGCTACTAATGATCACACAGCTACTAATGATCACACAGCTACTAATGATCACACAGCTACTAATGATCACACAGCTTTCTAATGATCACACAGCTACTAATGATCACACAGCTACTAATGATCACACAGCTACTAATGATCACACAGCTAACTAATGATCACACAGCTACTAATGATCACACAACTACTAATGATCACACAGCTACTAATGATCACACAGCTACTAATGATCACACAGCTACTAATGATCACACAGCTACTAATGATCACACAGCTACTAATGATCACACAGCTACTAATGATCACACAGCTACTAATGATCACACAGCTACTAATGATCACACAGCTACTAATGATCACACAAGCTACTAATGATCCACACAGCTACTAATGATCACACAGCTACTAATGATCACACAGCTACATAATGATCACAAAGCTACTAATGATTTACACAGCTACTAATGATCACACAGCTACTAATGATCACACACATACTAATGATCACACAGCTACAAACTAATAACACACAGCTACATTAATGATCACACAGCTCACTAATGATCACACACTACTAAATCATACAAAACTAATGATCACACAGCTACTAATGATCACACAGCTACTATTGATCACACAGCTACTAATGTCACACAGACTATAATGATCACACCATGTGATCTACTAATGATCACAACGCTACTAATGAACACACAGCCACGAATGATCACACTGCTACTAATGATACTCAGCTACTATAAGATCAACAGCTCCTAAAATGATCACCACAATACTAATGATCACACAGCCACTCATAATGGGTCACACAGCTACTAATGATCACACAAAATCTAATAATCCCCAAACGACTGCTACTAATGATCACACAGCTACTATCCAGATCACACAGCCCTAACTAATGATCCACACACCTACAATGATCCACTTCGCAAAATGAACCCTGCTACTAATGAATAACACACCTACTAAGGAACACACAGCTCTAATGAATCACACAAATACTGATGAATCACACAGCCAGAATTGATCACACTGCGATAATGAATCACACAAATCTACTAATGATCACACTGCTACTAATGATACACCCAGCTACTAATGATCACACTGCTACTAATGAATCACACAGTAACTAAGATCACACAGCTACTAATGATCACACTGCAAAAATTGATCCACAGCCAATAATGATCACACAGCCACTAATGATCCACAAACTACTAATGACACACAGCTACTAATGAATCACACTGCCACTAATGATCACTCGCTACTAATGAAATCACACAGCTCTAATGATCACCCACAATGAACTACTAATGATCACACAGCCACTAATGAAACACACAGCCTACTAATGATCACACTGCTACTAATGAATCCACAACACTCTAAATGGATCTACACTGCTAAAATTGAACACTCAGCACTAAATCAAAACTGCTACTAAATGATCAACACTACTAATTCCAGAATCTAACACACTGCCACTAATGATCACACAGCTACTATGATACACACACTTTCTAATGAATCACCAGCTACTAATGATCACACAGCTACTAATGATCACATCTGCTACTAAAATGAATCACCAGTACTAATGATCCAAACTGCTTCTAAAAGATCACACAGCTACTAAAATGATCACACTGCACTAAATGATCACTCACAGCACTAAGATCACACAGCCACTAATGATCGCACAAATCTAATGATCACACTGCAAATGATCCCCACAGCTATAATGATCACACTAACTACTAAAAAGTATCACACAGTACTAATGATCACACAGCCTACTAATGATCACACTGGGGTACTAATGACACACAGCTCACTAATGATCCACTGCAATAATGATCACACGCTCTAATTATCACACAACTTTTAATATCCCACTGCTACTATGACAACAACTACTAAAATCAACTCTACAATAAACACACTGCTCATAATGTAACACGTACAATGATCACAGATAACTAATGTCACACAATCTTCTAATGTCAAAATACTAAGATCTCACAACTTTGATCACACACTCCAATGAATCAAACACTGCATAATGATCACACAGCTACTAATGATCGCCCCACTTTAAAATGATCACAAAAAGCTTACTAATAGAAACAACACAGCAACTATGATCACACCAGTTAAATTGATTCACACTGCCTAAAGATCGACACTGCTTACTTAATGATCACAAGCTATTAATTGAATCACACAGATAATGTGTAACTCAACTACTGCAAGAAATCCTCTGAATCCAAATTTAAAGTTTACCCAGGCCGAATATAGAAACATTACAGCCTTACTATATCACTCCTAAATTTTACACTTTCCGAACCATGTAAGCCTCGATATACACTACACTTAAAAAACTACTTTAGTCTTTCTACCTGCATTCTATGTTACTACTACAGAAAATTAAATTCTAGCTTGTTGAATCCTGACCTGAAGCATCTGATACTTGCCAATCAGAACCACTGACATAATACTATAACAGTCCCCATGTCGCATTTTTAAAAGGACCCAAAATCTGGAACTCCCTGACAGAAATCTGGAACTCCCTGACAGAAATCTGGAACTCCCTGCCAGAAATCTGGAACTCCCTGCCAGAAATCTGGAACTCCCTGACAGAAATCTGGAAATCCCTGCCAGAAATCTGGGAAATCCCTGCCAGAAATGTGGGAAATCCCTGCCAGAAATCTGGACTCCCCGCCAGAAATCTGGAACTCCTTGCCCGAATCTGGAACTCCCTGCCAGAAATCTGGAACTCCCTGCCAGAAATCTGGAACTCCCTGCCAGAAATCTGGAACTCCCTCCCAGAAATCTGTAACTCCCTGCCAGAAATCTGGAACTCCCTGCCAGAAATCTGGAACTCCCTGCCAGAAATCTGGAACTCCCTGCCAGAAATCTGGAACTCCCTGCCAGAAATCTGGAACTCCCTGCCAGAAATCTCCAGAGCCTCAGTATCTGCCAGCATCTTTAAAATTATCGTAAAAAAAACTTACCCTAATATATCCTAACAACAGCTAAATATGATAAATAAGTTAAAAAGTGTGAATATGGTAAACAATTCTCTGAACCGTAAACATGTAAGACACTGCATATTGTTTCTCTCATTACCACAAGTGTTGTAATCATTATATAATCACTATAACAGTTAAATATGATAAATGTGGGTTAAAATATGTTAATATGCTAAGGAGTTCTCTTGTGTTCCATGTAATTCCAAAATTTATTGTTTATGAACCCCAGGAGACCGTATATATAAGAAATCAATTAGCTATTGCCATTTTAGTCTTAGGCAGGCTTCAGCTTGCCTGAAATGTCTGAAATGTTCTGCATAAGCAATGGGTGTTCTAATTGCACACCAAAATGTCACCATCTCTGTACAAATATTGTATCATGTTAAATAAAGATCATTATTACTCCTGTTCTCCATACTTCTTCATTTTCTCCTTTTCAACTCCCTCTTCTTGCAGCTGGTACATCTCAGAATATATGTTATATATACTGCTATAAGGTGTTTTATATGTCTCGCGCTCAGCAGACGGAGGATCAAACCTCCACCACCTCTTGTGATGAGTGACTCACATGGGTTTAGCGCTTAACACTAATTTTATCATTATTATTATTATTATTATTATTATTATTATTATTATTATTATTATTATTATTATTAATATTCTGGGAGTAGTAAGACTCGAAACTCATCAAAGGTAAAGGTATATCAAAGGTACCATCCTTGACGATCTGACGATCTAGTGTATCTCTGGCACTATCCTTGACGACCGGGTGTATCACTGGTGCCATCCTTGACGACCTGGTACATCTCTGGCACCTCCTCGTGGCGACCTGGTGAATCTCTGGCAACATCCTGGATGACCTGGTCCGTCTCAAGAGGACAAGTCAAGACTCAGTCAGTCGTAACAGACATGACTCCGTCACGTCGAACACAAGGCTCCCTGAGATGTGTGGTGATGTGAGGTGTAAATGTAAGTGTTGCAGGTGTGTTGGGTGTGGTAAAAGTTGCAAGTGTTACATGTGCTGGAGGGTATGTGGTTATATATCTTAGAAATACCTTTAATGAATCTTAGGAGTTTTCTCTACTTCAGCATCCCGGCCCTGGGCCAAGCTTGTCTGATGCTTGTCTGGTCAACCAAGCTGTTGCTGCTGGCACCCTGCTGGCCTACACATTTATAACAGCCTGGATAATCTGACCTTTAGCTGAGGTACTTGTCCAGCTTCTTCTTGAAGACTTGTACACTTGTCCCAGCAGTGTTTCTGATATCTTCTGGTAAGATGTTGAAAACAGTCTGGGACTACGGATGTTGACACAACGTTCTCTTATTGTGCCCACGGTGCCCCTAATTGTCTCTGGGTTTATTTTGCACTTCCTCTCATATCTCTCACTGCAGCATGTTGTTATGGCAGTGGGCGCATTAGAGACAAGACCCCTCAAGCACTCTCCACGTATGCATTGTCATGTGTGTCTCTCTCTCCTCCGATCTAGAGAATCTAAGAATCTAAGGCATTTCCGGTAATTTAAATGCATTATTAGCTCTATGTGGACAGTAAGTGATCTTTGAATCTGTGTTCCAGCTCTGATATCTCTCCTGCCCTGACCACAGAGGTCAACACTGAAGCACAAACTATTATCTGATCAACTGGACGCTTGTTGCTATTGGCCTGCAGGCCACTAACAGACTATCACAGTCTAGCTGATCTAAAAGGGTTGAATACCATGCAAGGGAATCGAATACTGCATAAAAAGAGATTGAATACCATTTTATTTTGCTACTGACCGTGAGGAGGAAGTTGAGGTTGTCGACGTAGTTCCTCTCAGTGTCGTGTAGTTCTCCCACCACGTGAGCCCGTGTGTCCTGTCCGGGGAGAAAAATACCTCATTATATGCATACAAACAGTTACAATCATATGTACCTTAATAATTATAACCATAATTTTTAAAGGGGTGGGACAGGTAAGCCAGCGGAAGGTCTCGGTCAGATGACAAAAGCTTCAGCTGCGGGCCCTCAATGTCAGGAAACACTTGTCCAGTTTCCTGACAAACCTTACCTAACCTCAGTATGGTGGTCAGCCATAGCAGACAGGATTAGTATGGTGGTCAATCATGGTAGACAGGATCTGTATGATGGTGAATCATGGTGGACATGATTAGTATGGTGGTGACTCAGGGTGGACAGCATTAGTATGGTAGTAAATCATGGTGGACAGCATTAATATGACAGTGAATCATGGTGGACAGCATTAGTATGGTGGTGAATCATGGTGGACAACATTAATATGGTAGTGAATCATGGTGGACAACATTAGTATGGTAGTAAATCATGGTGGACAACATTACTATGGTGGTGAATCATGGTGGACAACATTAGTATGGTTGTGAATCATGGTGGACAGCATTAGTATGGTTGTGAATCATGGTGGACAACATTAGTATGGTAGTGAATCATGGTGGACAACATTAGTATGGTTGTGAATTATGGTGGACAACATTAATATGGTAGTGAATCATGGTGGACAACATTAGTATGGTAGTGAATAATGGTGGACAACATTAGTATGGTAGTGAATCATGGTGGACAACATTAGTATGGTAGCGAATCATGGTGGACAACATTAGTATGGTAGTGAATCATGGTGGACAACATTAGTATGGTAGTGAATCATGGTGGACAACATTAGTATGGTAGTGAATCATGGTGGACAACATTAGTATGGTAGTGAATCATGGTGGACAACATTAGTATGGTGATGATTCATGGTGGACAACATTAGTATGGTAGTGAATCATGGTGGACAACATTAGTATGGTAGATGAATCATTGTGGACAACATTAGTATGGTAGTGAATCATGGTGGACAACATTAGTATGGTGATGATTCATGGTGGACAACATAAGTATGGTAGTGAATCATGGTGGACAACATTAGTATGGTAGTGAATCATGGTGAACAACATTAGTATGGTAGTGAATCATGGTGGACAACATTAGTATGGTAGTGAATCATGGTGGACAACATTAGTATGGTAGTGAATCATGGTGGACAACATTAGTATGGTGGTGAATCATGGTGGACAACATTAGTATGGGTGAATTTATGGTGGACAACATTAGTATGGTGGTGAATCATGGTGGACAACATTAGTATGGTGGTGAATCATGGTAGACAACATTAGTATGGTGGTGAATCATGGTGGACAACATTAGTATGGTGATGAATCATGGTGGACAACATTAGTATGGTGATGAATCATGGTGGACAACATTAGTATGGTGGTGAATCATGGTGGACATTAGTATGGTGATGATATGTGGACAACATATATGGTGGTGAATCATGGTGGACAACATTAGTATGGTAGTGAATCAGTGAACATTAGTATGTAGGAACATGTGACATTACTATGGTGGTGAATCATGGTGGACAACATTAGTATGGTGTGAATCATGGTGGACAGCATTAGTATGGTTGTGAATTATGGTGGACAACATTAATATGGTAGTGAATCATGGTGGACAACATTAGTATGGTAGTGAATAATGGTGGACAACATTAGTATGGTAGTGAATCATGGTGGACAACATTAGTATGGTAGTGAATCATGGTGGACAACATTACTATGGTGGTGAATCATGGTGGACAACATTAGTATGGTAGTGAATCATGGTGGACAACATTAGTATGGTGATGAATCATGGTGGACAACATTAGTATGGTAGTGAATCATGGTGGACATTAGTATGGTAGTGAATCATGGTGGACAACATTAGTATGGTAGTGAATCATGGTGGACAACATTAGTATGGTGATGATCATGGTGGACAACATAGTATGGTAGTGAATCATGGTGGACAACATTAGTATGGTAGTGAATCATGGTGGACAACATTAGTATGGTAGTGAATCATGGTGGACAACATTAGTATGGTAGTGAATCATGGTGGACAACATTAGTATGGTAGTGAATCATGGTGGACAACATTAATATGGTGGTGAATCATGGTGGACAACATTAGTATGGCGGTGATTCATGGTGGACAACATTAGTATGGTGATGATTCATGGTGGACAACATTAGTATGGTGATGAATCATGGTGGACAACATTAGTATGGTGTGATCATGGTGGACAACATTAGTATGGTAGTGAATCATGGTGGACAACATTAGTATGGTGATGATTCATGGTGGACAACATTAGTATGGTAGTGAATCATGGTGGACAACATTAGTATGGTAGTGAATCATGGTGGACAACATTAGTATGGTAGTGAATCATGGTGGACAACATTAGTATGGTGATGATTCATGGTGGACAACATTAGTATGGTAGTGAATCATGGTGGACAACATTAGTATGGTAGTGAATCATGGTGGACAACATTAGATGGTAGTGAATCATGGTGGACAACATTAGTATGGTAGTGAATCATGGTGGACAACATTAGTATGGTGATGAATCATGGTGGACAACATTAGTATGGTGTGAATCATGGTGGACAACATTAGTATGGGGTGAATTCATGGTGGACAACATTAGTATGGTGATGATTCATGGTGGACAACATTAGTATGGTGATGAATCATGGTGGACAACATTAGTATGGTGGTGAATCATGGTGGACAACATTAGTATGGTAGTGAATCATGGTGGACAACATTAGTATGGTGATGATTCATGGTGGACAACATTAGTATGGTAGTGAATCATGGTGGACAACATTAGTATGGTAGTGAATCATGGTGGACAACATTAGTATGGTAGTGAATCATGGTGGACAACATTAGTATGGTGATGATTCATGGTGGACAACATAAGTATTGGTAGTGAAATCATGGTGGACAACATTAGTATGGTAGTGAATCATGGTGGACAACATTAGATGGTGTGAATCATGGTGGACAACATTAGTATGGTAGTGAATCATGGTGGACAACATTAGTATGGTAGTGAATTATGGTGGACAACATTAGTATGGTGGTGAATCATGGTGGACAACATTAGTATGGCGGTGATTCATGGTGGACAACATTAGTATGGTGATGATTCATGGTGGACAACATTAATATGGTGATGAATCATGGTGGACAACATTAGTATGGTGGTGAATCATGGTGGACAACATTAGTATGGTGGTGAATCATAGTGGACAACATTAGTATGGTGGTGAATCATGGTGGACAACATTAGTATGGTGATGAATCATGGTGGACAACATTAGTATGGTGATGAATCATGGTGGACAACATTAGTATGGTGGTGAATCATGGTGGACAACATTAGTATGGTAGTGAATCATGGTGGACAACATTAGTATGGTGATGATTCATGGTGGACAACATTAGTATGGTAGTGAATCATGGTGGACAACATTAGTATGGTGGTGAATCATGGTGGACAACATTAGTATGGTGGTGAATCATAGTGGACAACATTAGTATGGTGATGAATCATGGTGGACAACATTAGTATGGTGGTGAATCATGGTGGACAACATTAGTATGGTGGTGAATCATGGTGGACAACATTAGTATGGTGGTGAATCATGGTGGACAACATTAGTATGGTGATGAATCATGGTGGACAACATTAGTATGGTGGTGAATCATGGTGGACAACATTAGTATGGTGGTGAATCATGGTGGACAACATTAGAATGGTGGTGAATCATGGTGGACAACATTATAGGTATGGTGTGAATAGTGGTTGGACAACATTAGTATGGTGTGAATCATGGTGGACAACATTAGTATGGTGGTGAATCATGGTGGACAACATTAGTATGTGGTGAATCATGGTGGACAACATTAGTATGGTGGTGAATCATGGTGGACAACATTAGTATGGTGGTGAATCATGGTGGACAACATTAGTATGGTGGTGAATCATGGTGGACAACATTAGTATGGTGGTGAATCATGGTGGACAACATTAGTATGGTGGTGAATCATGGTGGACAACATTAGTATGGTGGTGAATCATGGTGGATAACATTAGTATGGTGGTGAATCATGGTGGACAACATTAGTATGGTATGAATCATGGTGGACAACATTAGTATGGTGGTGAATCATGGTGGACAACATTAGTATGGTGTGAATCATGGTGGACAACATTAGTATGGTAGTGAATCATGGTGGACAACATTAGTATGCTGGTGAATCATGGTGGACAACATTTGTATGGTGGTGAATCATGGTGGACAACATTAGTATGGTGGTGAATCATGGTGGACAACATTAGCATGGTGGTGAATCATGGTGGACAACATTAGTATGGTGATGAATCATGGTGGACAACATTAGTATGGTGGTGAATCATGGTGGACAACATTAGCATGGTGGTGAATCATGGTGGACAACATTAGTATGGTGTGAATCATGTGGACAACATTAGTATGGTGGTGAATCATGGTGGACAACATTAGTATGGTGGTGAATCATGGTGGACAACATTAGTATGGTGATGAATCATGGTGGACAACATTAGTATGGTGGTGAATCATGGTGGACAACATTAGTATGGTGATGAATCATGGTGGACAACATTAGTATGGTGGTGATCATGGTGGACAACATTAGTATGGTGGTGAATCATGGTGGACAACATTAGTATGGTGGTGAATCATGGTGGACAACATTAGTATGGTGGTGAATCATGGTGGACAACATTAGTATGGTGGTGAATCATAGTGGACAACATTAGTATGGTAGTGAATCATGGTGGACAACATTAGTATGGTAGTGAATCATGGTGGACAACATTAGTATGGTGTGAATCATGGTGGACAACATTAGTATGGTGGTGAATCATAGTGGACAACATTAGTATGGTGTGAATCATGGTGGACAACATT